AAGGTGATTATATTAATGATAATAATACTGATGATCATAATAATGATAGAAATAATGATGATGATAATAATAATGGTGGCAATAATGAAGATGATGATAATAAAGATTAGAATCACTATGGTTAATAACATCACGCACACAAGGTAATATAATTTTTTTTTAATGACATTAACAATGATACGTCAAAAAAATAGAAGTAAAACAATATTATTATTACATATAATAATGATATAAAAGTAAAATATGCTAATTGTAAGAGAAATAATTATAATAAATATCTTAATAATTATGAGTCACAAAAACACAAATAATATCATTATCAAAAACAATGACACGAACAATTGTAATCACATCACATGTGTTCTAAATGCTTTTAATAAATCCTATAAATAAATCCACTTTGATCTTAGGGGGATTAAATGGTAACAGAAGACATTTAATTTCTATGTTGTTTATTATTGATATTGTATATTGTAAATTACTTATTATTATTATCATTTATTTTATATAGTTATAGGTTATTTATATAGTTATAGGTTATTTCATCATCATCATCATGTTCATCATTATTATCTTCATCATCATCATCATTTTCATCGTTATCATTTTTATCATCATCATCACCATCACCCATCATTATCATCATTATCATTCTTATCTTTCTTATCAGTAATATTATTATCATTATTATTATTATCATTATTTTTATTATCACCATTATCATTGTTATTATTATTATCTTGTCGTTGCTGTTTTTTTTATTATTTCTAACTGCGTCATCTCTAGAACTATAATAACTTAATTTTCTGTCCAATTAAAGGATATTTAATGATCAAGGCTTCTATTAGATACTAGAAGATAAATACGTTACCAATTAAACTTCTTTTTATTTATAGTATAGATGATTTTTTGGGAAGGTGTGTCTTTTTCTTTCTTTCCTTCTTTCTATCTTAATATTTGCTTCATCTATAAGAAAAGGAGAAGGAGGGGGAGGGAAAGAGAGAGAGGAAGAAGAGAGGAAAACAGAGAGAGGAAGAGAGAGAGGAAGAAAGAGAAGAAAAGAGAGAAAGCGAGAGTGAGAGTGAGGGGGCAGGCAGGCAAAGACAGACGAACAGAAACAGAGACAATAAGAAAAGTCAAGAGTCAGCCTATTAGCCATAACAGTTCTTAATAAATAAATGATAATAATAAAAAGTCTTGGCCATCCAGTCTTGTGGTAGCGGCTACCTCCCTTTCTCTCTCTTTCTCTTTCTCTCTCTCTCTCTCTCTCTCTCTCTCTCTCTCTCTCTCTCTCTCTCTCTCTCTTTCTCTCTCTCTCTTTTTCTTTTTCTTTTTCTTTTTCTTTTTCTTTTTCTTTTTCTTTCTTTTTTCTTTTTCTTTTTCTTTTTCTCTCTCTCTTTCTCTTTCTCTCTCTCTCCCTCTCACTTACTCTCTCTCTCTCCCTCTCACTCACTCACTCTCTCTCTCTCTCTCTCTCTCTCTCTCTCTCTCTCTCTCTCTCTCTCTCTCTCTCTCTCTCTCTCTCTCTCTACCCCTAAAATAGTTAAGTGAGCCTCAAGAATTCGTTACAACAGTATCACATAAAATGGTGCAGTTCGCGGTGAGATCTGTGTTTTAATTAAGATTTTCTTTATTGAGTCAGTGCTTAAAGAAACGATAACCATAATGCGTTAACAAGTTCATTGCGACATATGTTGAAAAGGTATGAATGAGAATGAATATCTTCACAATACATGAGAAGTATTTGACCTGCCTCGATTATATATTCCTCTGAAATACATGGCGAAGATACAATCGAAATCAATTAAATAAATCTCTTGTATTGTGAAAATATTCATTCTCATTCATACTTTTTCTACGTAAATCAACCATGTCGACCCCTACTCACTTGCTAGTCTTGCAGTCTTGCTTCCTAGTCATATTGCAGAGGTTTTGGTACACGTGGTTGCAACTTTGGTCAGTATATAAACACGGGCATTGTACGAAAGATGCATTATTTCAAGTATCGACACTGTTATCGTCATAGCCATGTTTTGTGCCTTTTTGCGAAGTTATACATTCAGAGTTTGCCCTTGTGTCTTTCGTTGCGAAATGTATCGTAGACATGCATGTACTTCAAAGAGTAAACTTGTAAATTTCACTCTGAGTAAACTTGGCACAAAGCTCTCTGGACAGTTATGTGGAAATATAATATTAGTAACAACATCATTAAAACCATTACATCGCTTTATGATCACGCCAAGAGTTTAGTATCTGTTGGAGGAAATTTGAGCAAATGGTTCAGATCCAAAGTAGGCGTCCGGCCAGGCTGTGTTTTGTCTCCATACTTGTTCAACTTCTTCTTGGAGTTCATTATGAGAGAAGCTTTAGACAGCTTTCATGGAGGTGTTAAAGGTAATGGACGAATAGTTTCGAATTTGCGCTTTGCTGATGATATTGATTTGATCGCGTCCTGTGAAGATGAACTACGAGATCTCACTGAAAGGCTTGACACTACTACCCGGAAATATGGTATGGAGATAAGTTCAGAATAAAAGCAAGGTGATGGGGACAACTAAGGAAGAAGTGCAGTTGAATGAACCTATAACCGTTTCGAACCAAGAACTGGAACAAGTAAACTGTTTTAAATACTTGGGGAGCCAAATCAGTTACAACCTACAATCGCAAACAGAAATTAAAAGTCGCATAACAATAGCAACAGCTGCTTTAGTTAAGTTAGATACAATATGGAGGAACAGTAGCATCACAGTCAAATCAAAAACAAGGTTCATGAAAGCAATTGTGTTAGCCACAATGACCTACGGCTGCGAATCGTGGACACTCAACGCTGAGTCGGAGAAGAGAATCAACGCTTTCGAAATGAAATTCTACCGAAAAATTCTGCGCATTCCTTACACTGCCCATAGAACTAATGAGAGCGTCAAGGGAGAAATTGTACAAAATTGTGGGAACCAAGAAACGTTGCTGTCGGTTGTAAAGAGGCGAAAGATACAGTGGTTTGGTCACGTCACCCGTAATCACAGTTCCCTAAGCCTTGCAAATACCATAATGCATGGCAGAGTGGCTGGAAAAAGAGGCCGGGGAAGACCAAGGAAAACCTGGCTGTCTAACATTCAGGAATGGACAAATTTATCAATGGTAGACGCTACAAGAAGGGCAACAGACAGAAATATGTGGAAAGACATGGGTAAAAACATAAAAGTGCACCTACGGCCCAATGGCTACGGACCTTGATGATGATGATGAGTAAACTTGTAAATTTCACAACTCAGAGTAAACTTGTAAATCTAGTTCATGTACATTCTGTTCATCTGGATTTCTTAGCAGTGACTTGTACCAACATTCCTTAAAACTTAAAAAAAAAAGTAACGTCTTGTTTGCAGCCTTTTCAACGTAGACTTACATGAGCAACAGAGTAAGCGTCCGCAAATTCTGCAACATGCTTAACACAATTCATTTTCATATTACTTGCAACTCTGTTTAAATCATGCAGTGAAGTTTGTGCAATGAGGCCAGAATATTAAAAAGTAATTACGTTGCTGCAGATGCATCGTGTTAAGAAGAGAGAATGAAAGAAATGAATGATGACGATAACAGTTATTTACGAAAGTGTATGAGTGAAATATACGGGAGAATGAGTGAAATGAAGCAATAAATGAGGCAAAAGGTGTAATGAGCGAAGCAAGAGAAATATTTAAAAATTAGAGAAATGGTAAGCCATCATAACTGAAATAATAAAAATATCTGCTCGACAATAAAGCAGAATTCTTTCGTGTGCAAAAATAATGTGGTTAATCTTAGTAAGAACAAATTCCTCAATCAATAACTTGCATAGATATCCTAACCGTGTTGCACTGCATAATGCATTGTGTATGTCTGTGTTTTTGTATATAATTACATACTTTTGTGTATGCATTGCTTGTGGACACCGAGGATTATCACTTTAACCAAGTTATGTGTTCTAAGTGCCTCTAAGAACTCTCCCAGAGTGCCAGTAACAAAGATGAACTTCCGGGTGTGTTCAACCGGCAATAAACGGTAACATAAAAAGTGTTCATCTCGTATTTTTATGTGTTTCATCTGTGTGATTTGTGTTCAAGTATTTTCATTAGTCCTGTTGTACTTACCATGTTTTCTGCGTTTGTGTAATTTAATGTTTAATAAAAGAGTCCCCCCCCCAAAAAATAAAATAAAATAATAATAATAATAATAATCATAGTAAGTAAATAAGTAAATAAATATATAAATGAAAAATAAATGAGGTGAAGTTAATTCAGGTTTTAAGCATTTGCAATAATTCTAATAGAGAGTATATTATTGATAGGCATCGGAACACAAAAACTAATTAAGTGACAGATTATTTTTAATTATTACAATTCATTAGCGGCGAATGCTCTCTGGGACTAAAATGTTAAACTATTTTAAACGTTTAAAAACCTACCAGGAAATAATATCTCTCATAAGTAAAGATAAATAACAATAAATATTATATTCAAAGTTCAAAACATATATAATATGTTTTTAAAGTATCAAACTATTGCATAAATATTATACATTATTATTTCTTCTTTTTCATTTTTACGTCACAATCCTCGCCCAATACATTATGCATAATTATTTTATTTCATTTTTTTTAATATCAGCCTCCCTTAGCACACTAATTAGTCCAACGTCACCCAATACATTATACATGATTATTTTATTTTATCTTTAATATTAGCCTCCATTAACACACTAATTAGTCCTACGTCACCCAATACATTATACATTATTATTTTATTTTATTTTTATTATTAGCCTCCATTAACACACTAATTAGTCCTTCTATAATCCCCCCCCCCAATACATTTTGCTGTGTATAAGGAGACAAATGCATACGTCTTTGCTCTGAGAATGTTGCATATCTTTCCACTGCATGTGCAACCGTTAATGGCTCTTGGCATCCCTCACAGCGTGCTTTCACTTTTAGCTTTCATCGACACGGAAATAGATATAATCATATGGTTGTTGAAATTCTGAAAGCTTCGAGAGTCGGCCTGTTTGTTATTCCTAAATAAATAGATTTAATGGTAATGGAAATGGGATAATGGTATAATGTTATTTGTCTGTTCTTTAATGAGCTAAGTGAGAACGGGAATGCGCTACAAGTTAGCTGCTGTGTTTGTTTGTTTGTTTGCTTTCCCTTTCTTCAGCTTTTTCTTTGTATTAGATTTCCTTGCTGTTGTGTCTTCTTCCTTGTTTCTGTTTTTCTTTAGGTTTGATCAGATTTCCTTGATATTTTGGGGGGTTTGTTTTATGTTCCAGTCTGATCGGTTTTCCTTGCTTTGTTTTTGTTTATGTGTCTGTGTGTCTTTTTCATGTCTTCTGTTTTCTTTATGTCTGGGCAGATTGTTTTGTTTAACTGTTGCTTTTACTAGTTTTCTGCTTCTGGTTATTTTATTTTTTTTCTAGTCATTATTTCTTGTTTTGTTTTTCAATTCTTACTTTCCTCTTTTTTATTCCTTAGTTTTGCATTTTGTCATTGTTACTTTAGTCTATTCATCCCTCCTTTCCCTTTCTTTTTCTATGTTTTTTTTCATATTCATCCCACAAATTCAACCTTTGAGTTCATAAGGTTCAAAATTCCAAACTTCAAAAGGTTAAGCCGTTCAAAATGTCATAAAATTCAAAGTTGAAAATTTCAAAAAGATCAAGCCGTTCAAAATATCAAGAGTTCAATTTTCAATCCTTCAAAGAACTAAGCCGTTCAAGACCTCAAGAGATCAAATTCAATAACTTCAAAAGATCAAGCGGTTCATAATATTCAAAACTTCAATAGGCCAACCCGTCCAAGATGCCAATGGGTTAAAAATCATCAACTTCAAAAAAGAGTCGTTCACAATTTTCAAAACTTCAAGAAACGAAACCGTTCAAGATGGAAAGAGTTCAAAATCACCAACTTCATTCCAACTGATTCTTCGTCCAACCATCCCTTCGTTGATTCACAATCGCTCTGTTAAAATCACCAACTTCAAAAGAGCGAGCCGTTCACAATACTCAAAATTTCAACAGGCCAACGAGTTAAGAATCACTAACTCCATTCCAACTGATCCCTTCTTTCACCGACTTCAAAAGAGCGAGCCGTTTAAAATATTCGAAATTTCAAGATGCCAACCCGTTCAAGACCTGAGTTCAAAATCTTCATTCCAACTTCAATCGCTCTGTTACTCTGATACAATACAGAACGTCTTGTCCCGCTGACTCAGCCTCACACGCTCCGCCTACTTTAGAAACGCCGTCAATATAGAACAAACTTTAGCGATATTTTCGTTCATAAGAGATTGTGTTTCCGTGGAAGAAGCAGTGGAGTGTTTTGTTTCTTAAAATTTCGGTCGGGTTTTGTATTTTTTCGTTTTCGTTTTCTTCGAGTGACGGAGGTGCTTTATTAGATCAAAGAAAGGGGTCGGTTTAATGGAAGGTATGTGTGGTAGAGTTATTAGTATATTAACTGTGTGTGTGAAGTTTATATGTAGGTTTATTTGTAGGATTTGCGTGAGTCAAATAAAAACTGTGTGTGTGTGTGTGTGTGTGTGTTTGTGTGTGTGTGTGTGTGTTTGTGTGTGTGTGTGTGTGTTTGTGTGTGTGTGTGTGTTTGTGTGTGTTCGCGTGCGTGTGTGTGTGTGTGTTTCTTTATTTGTCTGTGTGTGTGTTTCTTTGTTTGTCTGTGTGTGTGTGTGCGTGTGTGTATTTCTTTGTGTGTGTGTGTTTCTTTGTTTGTGCATGTGTATGTGTTTCTTTGTATTTGCAGAGAGAGAGACAATTGTACATACACATATATGGCGTGCGCGCGTGAGTATATATTTTCCTTTCAATCTTCAAGCGTTATAAGGAGGAAAACGCCACAAAGAAATAAAATTAATGACCAGCTGTTTAGACGAAAATACAGATGAATGAGGGGACCCCTCACCGTCCATCTTTACTCTCTGTCTTTCTTTTAAAACAACAGAACGAAAACACTTGATTTTAGGTTCTCTGTTGCAGCGGTAAGGACGGTGGGGAAGGGGGGGGGGGGAAATGGGAGTTTGGGGTGGGGGGTGAGTTGGAGTGGGAGTAGGGGGGTGGAAGTTGGAATGGGGGTTGGGGGGAGTTGGAATTGGAGGGAAACTGGTGGAGGGGGTTGTATATATCTTTTCAAACCTTCCCCTCCCCCCCCCCTCCCCACACCCCCAACCTCTCGTAAGGAAGTGGGTTAAGTGAATTATTTCCTTCCTTCCTCCCCCCCCCCTCATCTCTCTCCCCATTACCCACTATCCTCCATCCCCACTTCGTCCTCCACAACCCTCCATCTAGGGGTGGGGGGGGGGGGAGAAGCTACCTCCATCCCTATCTCCTTGGTGTTTGGTGGAGCAGTGGGTCAAAAAATTATTTCCCCCCACCACCCACCTCCCCCCTCCCCCCTCCCCTTCTTAGAAACTTGGGGTTGGGATTAAGGAGGGGAAAAAAAAGTTATATCTTCCCCTTACCCCACCCCCAACACCCCCTCCCCCTCCCCCCTTCCCAATCCCATCCTCCTCCCACCTCCTCCCCCCTTCCCATCTCCTCCCCCCTTCCCCTTCTCCCCACCTCCCCCCTCCCCCCATCTCCCTCCCACCACCCCCTCTCTTCCTACCCTTTAAAATAACGAGAGAGAGAGAAGAGAGAAAAAAATATATAATCCCAAAGGTTCAATTTACAAAATTATCTCCATGGGATTTTCGACCTTAGCGACCGCCTCGACAACTTGAGAGCGACAGTGGAACTTAGTCGGGCGGAAAAAAAAAAGTCTCCAGAAGCCAAACTTTAAAGGTTACAACGAAAAGTTAACCGGAACTAATGAAATGCCTTTGAGATTAAAGTATCGTTTATATACGCGTTGCTGGAATGAATTACTGATATAAGTTAACAAAGGATATTTGCTAATTTGTTAAAAAAAAAAGTAAGTGAATCTGATGAATAAGAACAGAAAAATAATAGAAATTTGATTAAGAAATAGAAGTGTGCAAATAAGAGGAAATGTTTGTGTTTATGTTTCTATGTAGACATCGTCTTCGCCTTCGTCTTCGCCTTCGCCTTCGCCTTCGTCATCGTCGTCATCGCCTTCGTCTTCGTCTTCGCCTTCGTCTTCGTCTTCGCCTTCGTCATCGTCGTCGTCATCGTCTTCGCCTTCGCCTTCGCCTTCGCCTTCGTCTTCGTCTTCGTCGTCATCGTCTTCGTCGTCATCGTCTTCGTCCTCGTCTTCACCTTTGCCTTCGCCTTCGCCTTCGCCTTCGCCTTCGCCTTCGCCTTCGCCTTCGTCTTCGTCTTCGCCTTCGTCTTCGCCTTCGTCGTCGTCTTCGTCTTCGTCGTCGTCGTCTTCGCCTTCGCCTTCGCCTTCGCCTTCGCCTTCGCCTTCGCCCTCGCCCTCGCCTTCGTCATCGTCGTCATCGCCTTCGTCTTCGCCTTCGTCTTCGCCTTCGTCATCGTCTTCGCCTTCGCCTTCGTCTTCGCCTTCGCCTTCGCCTTCGCCTTCGCCTTCGCCTTCGACATCGTCTTCGTCTTCGCCTTCGTCATCGTCATCGCCTTCGCCTTCGCCTTCGTCATCGTCATCGCCTTCGTCATCGTCGTCGTCATCGTCTTCGTCTTCGTCTTCGTCTTCGCCTTCGCCTTCGTCATCGCCTTCGCCTTCGTCATCGTCTTCGTCTTCGTCATCGTCTTTGTCTTCGCCTTCGTCGTCATCGTCTTCGCCTTCGTCGTCGTCATCGTCTTCGTCTTCGCCTTCGTCATCGTCTTCGTCTTCGTCGTCATCGTTTTCGTCATCGTCTTCGTCATCGTCTTCGCCTTCGTCGTCGTCTTCGTCTTCGCCTTCGTCATCGTCTTCGTCTTCGCCTTTGTCATCGTCTTCGTCGTCATCGTTTTCGTCTTCGTCTTCGTCTTCGCCTTCGTCGTCGTCATCGTCGTCGTCATCGTCTTCGTCTTCGTCGTCGTCATCGTCTTCGTCTTCGCCTTCGTCGTCGTCGTCGTCTTCGTCTCCGCCTTCGTCGTCGTCATCGTCTTCGTCTTCGTCGTCGTCGTCGTCTTCGTCATCGTCTTCGTCTTCGTCGTCGTCATCGTCTTCTACTTCGCCTTCGTCGTCATCGTCATCGTCTTCGTCTTCGTCGTCGTCTTCGTCTTCGTCGTCATCGCTTCGTCGTCCATCGTTTTGTCTTCGCTTCGTCTTCGGCCTTCGCGTCGTCATCGTCGTCGTCATCGTTTCGTCTTCGCGTCAGTCCTTCGTCTTCGCCTTCGTCGTCGCCGTCGTCGTCCGACTTCGTCTTCGTAATCGTCTTGTCTCGCCGTCGTCGTCGTCGTCGTCATCGTTCGTCTTCGTCGTCGTCTCGTCTTTCTTCGTCTTCGTCGTTCGTCCTCGTTTGTCTTCGTCATCGCGTTCGCCTTCGTCATCGTTTCTCTTCGTCTCGTCATCGCCGCGTCATCGTCTTCGTCTTCGCCTTCGTCTTCGCTCGTCGTCGTCTTCGCGTCGTCCGCACGTCGTTTTCGCCTTCTCTTCGCATCGTCTTCGCCTTCGTCGTCGTCATCGTCGTCGTCATCGTCTTCGTCTTCGTCGTCGTCATCGTCTTCGCCTTCGTCATCGTCGTCATCGCCTTCGTCATCGTCGTCATCGCCTTCGTCATCGTCTTCGCCTTCGCCTTCGTCTTCGTCATCGTCCTTCGTCTTCGCCTTCGCCTTCGTCATCGTCGTCATCGCCTTCGTCTTCGTCATCGTCTTCGCCTTCGTCGTCGTCGTCGTCTTCGTCTTCGTCTTCGTCTTCGTCTTCGTCTTCGTCTTCGTCTTCGCCTTCGTCTTCGTCTTCGTCTTCGTCTTCGCCTTTGTCTTCGTCATCGTCTTCGTCTTCGCCTTCGTCATCGTCGTCATCGCCTTCGTCTTCGTCTTCGCCTTCGCCTTCGTCTTCGTCATCGTCTTCGTCTTCGTCTTCGTCTTCGTCTTTGTCTTCGATTTTCATTATAGATATTTGATTGCTTTTATTATTAATGCCATTTATTCTTGTCATTAATATAACTATCTTTACTATCCCTATCACCGTTATTAATATTATTATTATATTATCATTTTTATGTTTGTTATCATTATCATTGTTATCAAATCATAATTATTATTATTACCATTCATAATATCATCATTATAGTTATCATTATCATTGTTATCAAATCATAATTATTATTATTACCATTTATAATATCATCATTATAGTTATCATTATCATTGTTATCAAATCATAATTATTATTATTACCATTTATAATATCATCATTATAGTTATCATTATCATTGTTATCAAATCATAATTATTATTATTACCATTTATAATATCATCATTATAGTTATCATTATCATTGTTATCAAATCATAATTATTATTATTACCATTTATAATATCATCATTATAGTTATCATTATCATTGTTATCAAATCATAATTATTATTATTACCATTTATAATATCATCATTATAGTTATCATTATCATTACTATTATCGTTATAGATATTTGATTGCTTTTATTATTAATGCCATTTATTCTTGTCATTAATATAACTATCTTTACTCTCCCTATCACCGTTATTAATATTATTATCATATTATCATTTTTATGTTTGTTATCATTATCATTGTTATCAAATCATAATTATTATTATTACCATTCATAATATCATCATTATAGTTATCATTATCATTAGCGTCGGGGTTAAGGGTATGATTTTTATCATTGCAATTGTTGATACTCTCATCATCATTTTTATTGTTGCTATTATCATTATCATTGTTATCAAATCATAATTATTATTATTACCATTTATAATATCATCATTATAGTTATCATTATCATTGTTATCAAATCATAATTATTATTATTACCATTTATAATATCATCATTATAGTTATCATTATCATTGTTATCAAATCATAATTATTATTATTACCATTTATAATATCATCATTATAGTTATCATTATCATTGTTATCAAATCATAATTATTATTATTACCATTTATAATATCATCATTATAGTTATCATTATCATTGTTATCAAATCATAATTATTATTATTACCATTTATAATATCATCATTATAGTTATCATTATCATTGTTATCAAATCATAATTATTATTATTACCATTTATAATATCATCATTATAGTTATCATTATCATTGTTATCAAATCATAATTATTATTATTACCATTTATAATATCATCATTATAGTTATCATTATCATTGTTATCAAATCATAATTATTATTATTACCATTTATAATATCATCATTATTATTATCATTATCATTAGCGTCGGGGTTAAGGGTATGATTTTTATCATTGCAATTGTTGATACTCTCATCATCATTTTTATTGTTGCTATTATCATTATCATTATCGTCATTTCTATTCTATCACCGTTATTATCATTCTTGCAATTGTTATCATTATCATTATTATCAAATCATAATTATTATTATTACCATTTATAATATCATCATTATAGTTATCATTATCATTATAATCATAATCATTATTATCATTGATATTATTCATATTATCCTCATCATCATTATCATTACTATTATCGTTATAGATATTTGATTGCTTTTATTATTAATGCCATTTATTCTTGTCATTAATATAACTATCTTTACTCTCCCTATCACCGTTATTAATATTATTATCATATTATCATTTTTATGTTTGTTATCATTATCATCACTATTATTATTGCCAATATTATTATTGTAAACATAAGATTGATGGTTATCATTAGTTTTAATATGAATATCATCATTATTAATGATGTTATTATAATTATCAATATCATCATTATTATCCAAATCATCATTGATATTATCATTATCATCATTATCATTGTTATCATAATCATTATTTTTATCATTATGGTAATAATTATTCTCATTATAGTTTTGTTTGTTTCTATGTACATTTTCGTCTTACAATAATAATGCAAAATTTTAATAATGATAATGATAACAATAATAATAATCATCATCATCATTATTATCTTTATTGTTGTTGTCGTTGCTGTTATTATTATTTTAAGAAAAAACGATAATATTAGTAATGATAACAGTAATGGTTATCATGAATATTATTATCATTATTTTTATTGTTATCATTATTATTGTTGTTGTTGATATTACTATTATTATCATCATTTTCAACATTATTGTTAATATTATTTCCATTATTATTATCACTATCATTAGCATTATAAGAAATGCTACCAACGCTATAATTATCCTTATCTTTGTTATCATTGTCATCATCATCACCTCACCTCATCGTTAAAATATTTCTCCCTTCTTCTGTTATTATCATTATCATTATCATTATCACCATCATTATCCTTATCATTACCATAATCATTATTACCATTATCATTATTATTGTTCATCATCATTATCATCATTATTATCATTATTATCATTATCATCATTATTATCAT